CACATTGGGGCAGACAGCCTCTTCATTCATTAACTCCTATGGCTTTTGCAGGTGGAAGAGCAATGGAGATTCAAGATGTTAGAAATAAGACAACAGGTCCCAAATGCATCACTTATGCTAAGCTTCACATCACCAAACTGAGACTTGACGGTTTTTGCTTTCCGAGAAATAGAATCTTAAACTAGTCAGCCAGGAATCACTTGATCAGCACTAGTTAGGTAATTTGCCTGATAGTTCCTGCCATCCCCTAAAGGAAGGTGACCTTGCAGTAATCTGTCTGCTTTTTTTTGCCTAGCATAACTTCCTTGTTCCCATCCCTTCTACCTATAGAGTTCTTTCATTTTGCACAGCTCCTTCGAGCTTCTTTCTGTCTGCTAGATATCACTTGATTCATAAATCACTGAATAGAGCCAATTAGATCTTTAAAATGTACTCACCTGAACTTTGTTTTTTGACAAAGGAAAATTTGGACAATGTCCTGTTAAAGTGTCCTTGTTGCAGAAGGGCACAATAATCTTTGGGTAGAAGATTTGCTACCCCAAACACGTAAAAGAAAGCCAATTTTTGTTGTTGTTGATGAAACAGCTGACTTTTGGTTTTTAAGAAATTTTACTATGGATTAGCGGATTTAAAAAAAAAAATGTTTTTATTGATTTTAGGAAGGGAGAGGGAGAGAGAGAATAACGTGGATGAGAGCGAAACATCTATCGACTGCCTCCTGCATGCCCCTACTGGGGACCGAGCCCTCAACCTGGGCATGTGCCCTGACTGGGAATTGAGCTGGTGACCTCTTGGTGCATGGGACGACACTCAACCAACTGAGCCACACCACACAGAGCCAGATTTAAAAAAAAAAAAATCAGATAACTAGGTGTTAAAGTGTATTTTGTTCATTGACCTCAACCCTCAGCTAAGACAGAGTTGGGTAGAGACATCAGCCAGCCTATTCACAGTGTGAAGATTGGCCATTAGTATTGCATTTGTCATTAAGATGGTGAGTAATTTCTTTTTTGATTAATGCATCTGGCTGTCTTTGGTTGGAGCAGAAACCACCTTGGCAGGGAGCTCAGCTCCTGGAAGCCCAAGGTGCAGGAGGCAGGTACAGGTATACCTTGCTTCACTGAGATATTTGCTTTATTGTGGTGGTCTGGAACCGAACCCACAGTTATCTCTGAGGTATGCCTGTATTTTCTTTTTGCAAGAATGCTGGAGAGGAAAGCAATCAGCAGCTGTTGAGAATTTTGAAATTTTCTTCTCATTTTACTACTCACCTTTGTTCTGCATGTTTGATAGCTCATCCTTATGACTTTCTTAAGACTTTCACATTCCGCCCTGGCCGGTTTGGCTCAGCGGTTAGAGCGTCAGCCTGTGGTCCGGAGAGACCCGGGTTCGGTTCCCGCTAAGGGCACGTACTTCGGTTGCAGTTTGTCCCCGGCCCTGGTTGGTCGTGCGGGTGGCAGCCACTCGATGTGTCCCTTCACGTCGATGTTTCTCTCTCTCCCTCCCTCCCACTCTATCTGTACAAAATATGGAAAAATATCCTCAGGTGAGGATAAAAAAAAAAAAAAAAAAAAAGACTTTCACATTCCTTCCACTTATGGAACCTGTAAATCCATGAAAACATGGTAAGAAGGGGATATCCAAGTGGCTGGCTATTATTGTGTGGTTTTTATGTCTGCTGATTTAACCTATAGACTCAGAAGTGGAGAATTCCTTAGTTATTCCTTAACCTGTTGTCTTCTCTCCCTTCCTTCCTCTGTGAAGAAACATTTGTTGAGGATCTTCGACATGCTAGGCAGCAGTGCAGGCCATGGGGATGTAGCAGTGAAAAACAGAAGTCCCTTTCACTTGGAGTTTATGTTTCAGTTGGGGAGGCAGACAAATGTGTAATAATTTCAGGTGATGGTGATGTTAGGAAGAATTAATGGTGGTGTTTCTTAGTATGAAAGTAGCATCTTAAAGTGTTAGCTTTGCAGCCCTGGCTGGGTTTGCTAAGTGGTTAGAGCATCTGCCTGCAGACCAAAGAGTCACGGTTCAATTCCAGTCAAGGGCATGTACCTCAGTTGTGGTTTGTCCCTGTCCCTGGTTGGGGTCGTGTGGGAGGTGGCAATCAGTCGATGTGTCCCTCTCACATCGATGTTACTCTCTCTCCCTCCCCACCTTCCCTCCCTCCCTCCCACTCTATCTGAGGATAAATAGAAAAATGTCCTCAGGAGAGGATTAAAACAAAACAAAAGTGTTAGCTTTGCAAAGGGCCTTCCAGCATGCAGTCCAATTGGCTTAAAGGACAGGCGTGTGACTCTGAGCATTTCCCATTATTCAGGGAAAAGGAGTGAAAATGTGTAGACTTATACATTGTGTAGGACAGGATTGAACCATTTAGGGCTCTAAAAGCTTTCACTATGTTTCCTTACTCATTATTCCTGGCAACACATTAGTTGTTGTTTGGAAATACAGCTCATCACCACCCTGGGTTTTATGGGTGTCCCCTGGGGGCTCCCTCCCCTTAATCACTGTGACCTTTGGGAAGGGCTAAAATCACAGCCTTTTTAGTTATTAGTTGCATTTGTATAACCGTAGCTCTAGGGTTGTCTTCCCCACACTAATAATGGTGGCATCCATTATTCCAGGCCTTGTAGATAGAAATTGATGAATTTAATTAAAATTCAATGAGTTTAAAAAAGACACTCTGAGCTTTTACCAGATTCAAGGCAAAGATTCAAGGTAAACAAATATAATTAGGGCAGTCCTTCACATTTGATGAGTTTGAAATTTAAATTAGATTATGAAAGTGCCCTCTTACTGTTTGGAAGGGAAATGGTTCATAGTCAGAGTTAGGTTTTAAAAAGCTGGCTCTCCCACGCGCTCTTCTCTCGCATCCTCTCTCTGGAGCTCTTTGGGGTGGTGTGCAGTTACCCTGGCGGCACTCTAAGTGCAGCAGTTCATCTGGAGTAGCTGAGCGTCTTTTCTGTAAATCACGTTACAGGAGGCTTTTGGAGGACAGGATGTAGACATGTTGGGGATGATTCTAAACTTCCTGAATAGGGCTCCTCCTATTTGATCCTTTGTTCAGACAGTTGAACTTGTCAACTGGAGAGAGCATTAGAAAAAGCTAGAAATATTTTCTTTGCCATTCATAACTGTGCACCTGTGCACACATACATGCACACACGACCCCTCTGTATCACTCTCCCTGAAAAAGCCTTTTTCTAGGAGAATGATGCATAGTTTCCTGACACTTATTAAAGGTAAACCTGTAATTTTTATCCTGGGGATGTGTCTGTTAGTGGAGGAGTATTTGCCCTGGCAACAATAAAAAAATTGATTAAGAAGATGCAAGCTGAAAGAATATATGTACCCCCATGTTCATAGCAGAACTATTTACAATAGCTAAGATCTGGAAACAGCCCAAATGTCCATCAGTAGATGAATGGATAAAAAAGCCAATGGATATACACAATGGAGTACTATGCAGCTATAAGAAAGAAAGATCTCTCATCCTTTGAGACGACATGGAGGGACCTGGAAAGTATTATCCTAAGCAAAACAAGCCAAACAGAGAAAGACAAGTATTATATGATCTCACTTATTTGTGGAATATAATGAACATAACAGTCTGAGAATGGGGTAGTCCCAGAGTCGTGGAAGTGGGGTACAGACTGACAATCCCCAGAAGAGGGGGTGGTGGGGGAGAGATAAACCACAGAACTTATATGCATGTATGCATGAACAATGGACATGGACAACAAAGCTGGGGACAGGGCGGGGAGGGAGAGGGAGGGGGGAATCAGTGGGGGGAAAAAGGAGAAACATCTAACAAAAATAAATAAATTAATTAATAAAAAGATTTAAAAAAGAAATAAGACAATAAAAAAAAAGAAGAAGATGCAAGCAGATATTTAGCGGAAAGGTTAGGCTCAGCCTGGTGACTTTCCTCCAGGACAGGGGTTGTAATTTGCATCGAAAGCAGTGCAAAACAGTCTGTGTACCTTACAGAGTCACTCAGTAAATGAAACTGACACATTTGAATGCAGTGCCAGTGGAAAGGACAGAGTTGTCGGGAGCATAACCAGCCAGGGCACTGAGTACAGCAGGTCCTCGAGTGTCATCATTTCGTTCAATGTTGTTTTGTTATGACATTGATGAGATGCTGTAGGAACTTAACTCTTGTGTATATTAATTAGCCTATGGAACAGTTGGTTTCTTTATATGTCTTTTCACTGCAATTCTAAGAACCTAATGACAACGTAAATGAGGAGTTACTGTACTACCTTGAATAAAATCGCCTTGAAAATGAGAGAAGAAGCCTAGTGGATGGTACCACTATTTTTTTTCTTCCCCTAGTTGTTAGCTCCTTTTAGGCAAACATGAACAGAATATTAATATATTTTCTTTAGCAAGGTACAAAACTGAGTTGGCATCTGGTAAAGAAATGGGGTATGGGGTTGGGTGAGTCCCATCTGCTTGGAGCCTAGTTGACACAATGCCCAGGGCCCCTGTCCAGCTTGGCCACAGGCATACTTTTTCTGGTCAAGCCCTGACCATTGCCACTTGTGGGTGTCATTGAGGAGGAGTCTTGAGAAATAGAGGTTGGATTGTGGGCCCCTGATACCAACTAGCGGCAGATAGGGAGTCTCAAAGGGATGCTGCCCAGCAAGCTTTTGTAAGCCCGAGGCAGGTTTCCAGGAAAACCTGAGAATCGAGAGGGAATGGGAAGAGGGAGAACACAGTGCAGATGAGTTCTACAAGTGCTGTTCTGGACCGAGCCAGGCCCTCCCCAGGGCAGGAAAAGCCAGACCTTGACCACAAGGAACTTCTCCTACCCTGCGGCTCTTGCCGGTCTTCCCTCAGTGCCCTCTCTTGCTTCTGTGCTGTTCTGAGCCCTAGGTCCATGCTGGTGTTGCTTCTGGGCAGCTGTGGCTGAGAGAGGGGCCCTGGAAGGCTGGTATGAGAAGAGACTGGTTTGGAGCACGAGTTTCTCCAAAAACAACAGGTCTTACCTGAGCCATTGGCACCCAGGGACTCCATGTGTCCATCACCTCAGTGCTTCTGCCTTTCCCTGTAGGATCTAAGTGAACCAGAAGAAAGGAGGCCTCAGAGGGAGCTTTTCTCTTCTTTTTAAAGCACCACTTTTGTTTCCTGTTTACACCAGCACCACAACCCCCTTGGGAAATGGCTAAGGGAGCGGGGGAGGATGAGTGGTGATTGAGATAGAAGCTGAGAAACAGGATCTACTCCACTTAGCCTCTGATCTGGCCCTTGAAAAGGAGGGAGGGAGGGAGAACAGAAGGAGGCAATGCCTGGGGGCCAGGCTGAGACAGCTTAAAGCAGCAAGGCAGCCTCTCCATGCTGCCCTGTGTTGGTCCCAGAACTACTGAGCTGGGTCCTCAGACCTAGTACCCAGAAGGGAAGGGGAAGGGAGTGGGCACTGGTCTGGTCCTGCTACGAGGCCACTGTGGAGGCCAGGGTATGGGTCTTGGCACATGAGCTAGAAATCAGAGTGGGTTCTGTCATACTCTCAGTGCAGTCTGGACACTGGCCCATGGTAGGTCAAGTAGAATTAATGATCTTATTAGTTCACAAGTCTTTGGGTGCCTGCTGTATTCCAGACACTGCTCAGTGGAGTGGGAAAAAAGATGCCCCCAGCTGCTGACATGTATGTGATGTTTTTACCACGCGTCCCAGCTTGTACAAATGTATGAAGTTATATACATGTACCGATAGGTCTGGTAGAAAGCATGCACAGGAAAGACGGACAAGAGAAACAGAAGTAAGTTCTATTTCTTCCCATACGTCAGTGGATTGCGTCGCACACATCCCACTTCAGAGCACTAGTATGTACCGCTGCCCTTGTGTGTCAGACCTCCTCTTCCACCCCCACTGGGGCTTTGGGAAGCAGACCGTTTTGAGTTGGGGCTGCCTATTGAATGAATCGAAGGTGTGAAAGAGGAAGCAAGGCAGGAGGATGCTGAGCTCAGGTAATTGGTTAGCACATCAGCAAGGTCTGATGGCCATTATGCTTTCCCCACTCCACCCTCCTTGGGAAAGGTACCCAGGTGGCCTGGGGTGGGTGTTTAAGGTTCTTGTGATCCTGTCCTGTGCACCATGGTAAGGATACTGAGGGGTGTGTGTGGGGGGTGTTGTTGCCGTTCAGTCCCTTTGTAGTTTTTATAGACATTCATTAATGTTGCATTTGATTATCCCAACAACCTTCTGAGATGAGGGATCCTTTCCCTGCTGGGAAGACCAGAGAATGGAGGCCGGTGCTGAGTGTAATGAGCATGAGAGCGGGGCCCTGGGCTCTGCTCTCCCTGACTGGCCGCTACCTCCTCCTGCAGAGTCTTCCTTTCCGACTGCCTGTCTTGCCATCCCCTGGAGGAACAAACAGTGAACATGCTTGGCACCCCTGACTCTTAGTCCCGCATGTGCCACTTTCTTCTGGGTGAGAACTTGGGCTCCAGGTCCTTGGTTCCTTCCGGGCTCACTATGGAAGCTGCACTTGGCCTCCTTTACTCAGGCATTAGTGGTCCCAGTGCAAGGCCTTTGCCCGTGGGGTGGGGAGGAGCCAGGACACTGCAGGCCTCTCCAGTTCTCCTAAGTTTCTGTTCCCTCGGCCTGCTCTCCTGTGACTCTTGGCTGGCGCAGGGCTGTGGCTGGGGGTCAGAGGCATAGAGAGCTGGCTGGCTTGCTCCCTCCCTCCCCATCCATGTCTTCTGAGTCTGTGCCCTTTCCTTCCCTTGCACAGGAATTTGCCTTTCTGCTGGTGGGAGAACGGTTGTCTGTGGAGGTGTTGGTCCCCTACTCAGAGGAGTCTCCAGAAAAGGGCTCTTTTTCAGTGGCCTGGGGTGAGGCCTGGGACCCTGGCAGGTGAAACCTTGGAAGTGAATCACCCTCAGGCTTGTTTGTTCAGGGCATCTACTGAATTTCCTAGTTGCTCATCGCAGGCCGGACCTCTTGGTAATAACAGCCAGTGTTTTTGTAGCAGTTCTCAATCTACTTTCGGCCTCAAGAGACCTCTCTTCGCCTCATACCATCCTAGCAAGGAAGGAGAGGAGTCATGTGTGGAGATACTGCAGGAAACAGCGCTGAGCTAACATTTATCACAGGGCCTGGAAGGTCGGGGAGTCAGTACAGAGTCGGAGCTCCCTGCCCCTCCCCCGCAGGGACTCTGCCTGCCTCCTTCCTGCCCTTCCTCGCCAGAGGAACCAGCAGTCTTTGCAAGTCTCCTTGACAACAGGATGGATGAGTTAAAAATAGCCTTGTGCTGGGGCTTCTGGGAGTGTGGGAGTGTGTGTGTGTGATGCACACAGGCACAGACCTTCTTGCCTGAGAAGAGCCTCAGTTGGGAGGCCTCTGTGGGGCCTGGGTGCTCCCATGTGGAAGCCTCTGGGTTTAGGGGTCAGGTATAGATCTTCACTCAGCATCCTTACCTCATAGTCCTGATTTGGTGCATGTGGGGTATGGGTGATAATGTTAAGATAAGAATGGAAAGCCCTGGCCACTGTGGCTTGGTTGGGCATCATCCTGTGCACCCAAAGGTTGTCAGTTCGATTCCCAGTCAGGACACATGCCCGGGTTTTGGGCTCGATCCTCAGTGGGGGACGTGCAGGAGGCAGCTGATCCATGTTGCTCTCTCACATCGATGTTTCTATTTCTCTCTCCCATCCTGTCTCTCTTAAAAAATAATAATAAAAACATATTAAAAAATAAAAAAGATAAGGAATGGGAAGCTGTTCTGAATGCCTTGGTTCTTCATTCAGTCTAACTGGAAAGGGATAATTTGGGAGGTGTTACTGTGTTTCAGAACTTCTCTGGGTGGTAATGGGGCACAGCCCTGGGTGGGAATTTGGTTTTCTCTCTTCAGTGAACCCCCGCAATTGGGAGGGCCCTTTCTGGTTCCCTTTTATAAGGCGAGGCCACAGTAGTGCAGAGGCACACGCAGGGCTCGTTTAGGGCTCCCTGGCTCAGTTGTGGCAGAGTAAGGAGCAGTGACCCCATCATCAGAAGCTGTAGCTCTTTCCGTCAGATCCAAATGACGCAACCTCTGTAGGCCTTTACCGAAGCCAGTTGTTTCCTGCAGGAGCAAGGCCTTCTGTTTTGTCGTGTTATCACCGTTGTAATTTAATTTCGAAATAGCTGTTTCCATGAGGGCAAGGGCTGGGTATCGCTTTACCATATCTGGAATTAACTCCTCGCTTTCTCCTTCCATCCATTAGTAAGTATTGTACTGTGTGCCTGGCATGGGGATGTCATGAGAACAGGTGTCTTGGTTTCCATCTTTAGGGAGCAGAAGACAATGAAAAAGATCTCCTTCTAAGCCTCTGTTGTGGCCAGTGAATAGAGGGGGAGGTCTGAGTGTTAGAGGGAGTGACTGGGGTGGGGCTGGAGTCAGAGAGGCTGGGAGAACATAGTGACACAAAGTACTTAAATCTGGGATGTATTGACTAACTCTTGGCATGGCCCAGACCCAGTCCTCATAATGTATAAAATATTCCTACAAATCAATTAAAAGGAAGACAGAAAACTCAGTAGAAACCTGGCCGATGACTTGACAGACACTTCACAAGAAAAGATATCCCAGTGGCCAGCAAACATACGAAACAGTGCTCAATTTCATCTGTCTCTTAGTTTGGGAAATGGAAATTTCCCTAAATCAAACTTAAATATGTTTGTATATAATGACATCTTTAAAGAGGTTCTTTTGCCATTTCTAGATCACTTCATTTAGAATTTCATACCAAAAAAATAAAATGGATTTCAGTATGCTTAAATAAAAGGCAGTCTAGTGGGACGAACAAATTCAAGTCAGACGACGTGGGTTAAGAGGAGATTTGGGCCGGTCATGAGCTCCTCAGAGCCTGGTTCTCCATTTGTAAATCAGGATCTTCCTGTTTCTTCCCGTCCTCCCAGAACTGCTCTGAGTTTCACAGGTATGGGACGTGCTCTAAAAACACAGGGGCGATGCAAATACTAAGTAGTATTGTTACTGTCTAATTCTACATGACTTGATTTCTCCTCCACCTCTTCTCATAGCAACTATTCTAAATTCCCTTAAGAAATAAAAGCTCTGAGCAGTAGGATCAGAAATGAGGTCCCGGTGAAATTAGTCACTGCCCCCTTTTGCTTTCTTTGGACTGTTTCTCTCTTCTGACTGTTTCTCTCTTCTGACTGTCCCTCCCCTGCTCGCCTGTCGGGCCATGGGAGTTGAGTAGATTGTGGCTGTTCCTCATCCTCACCAGGTGCAGGTCTCGCAGTAGCGAGCAGGCCATTTTGGCACATGTCAGAACAGTGTTGGGATCACTGTGAGTCCCATCTGTTATGTCACCTGACCGTGCTGGGTTCTCAGGCCAGTTTGGGTCTTTTCCCATAGATCTTCTGTGACAGGCGTGTACTTCTCAGTATCCTGCTCAGCATTTTTAACCCTTTACTCTTCTGTTTTTCCGCTTTGCAGGAGTCGGAGAGAGAAGTAAAGGTAGATGGAGAGACTGCATCGGACAGTGAGAGCCGCACGGAAGTTGCTCCCCTAGTAACCTCTGCAGACGATACCCCAGAGGTCCTCAACAGGGCCCTTTCCAACTTGTCTTCAAGGTAACCTGGCTGAATGATGCAGGTGCTTATTGGGGGCCTTGTTGCGTGTCCAAGTGCCGTGGAGGCTCAGGCCCCTCAGAGAGCCCACGGTCCTGTGGTGGGAGTCCACTTCTGTCGGAGCGTGTGGGGCAGGCCTGCCCACTGGCACCAGTCACAGTGCCCCTTGCCTCTGCCCAGGGCTTCACTGAGCGTCGTCTTAATAACAACTGCAAGCACAGCCTGGATGGGTCTGGCAGTTGAAGGGTGCTCAAGGCTGGGCTGGGAGGGGCAGTCCAAGGAGGAGGAAGGGGTGGACAAAGGTTGGGCAACGCCACTGCCGCAGCACATGTGGAGAAATGGTCTCTGGGGATTGTGACTGATGGGTGGGCTGCTTTTCACAGAGAAGCCCAAGTTTCCAGTTCAAAGTTTAGTTTTCTGTCTTCTAAGCACATCCATTGTGGACATTTAAAAATTCTCCTAAAAGAATTGAGAAACATCTTCTTTTTTTTTTTCAATCCTCACCTGAGGACATTTTTGCATTTATCTTCAGACAGAGTGGGAAGGAGAGAGAGGGGAAGAGAGAGAGAGGAACATCAACGTGAAAGAGACACATCGAGTGGTTGCCACCCGCACAACCCCAACCGAGGCTGGGGACAAACTGCAACCGAAGTACGTGCCCTTAGCGGGAACCGAACCCAGGACTCTCTGGTCCATGGGCCGACGCTCTAACCGCTGAGCCAAACCAGCCAGGGCGAGAAACATACTAACTTGGGTGAATTCAGGGTTGAAATACTGGTCCCTTGAGACTCTTGGTCCCTCCAACACCAGCTATGTGGGTAGGTTAAAAACACAAACTATAAGACCCCAAAACATTATCTAAAAGTGTTTCTAATGTCTGCCTGCCACACACATGTCCCTTTGGAAGGTGGTCTTATGCAGTGGGTCAGGGCCTGGGTTCTGGAGCCAGGCTCCCAGGATTCCAGTCCCAGTGTAACTACTTCACCACTATATGACCTGGATTCCCTTGGATTCCTTCGTTAAGACATAAGCTGGGTGTATTTTTCTGTAGGCTTTGGAGCACCCGCTGGGTTTGATTTAGGTGAGGCATTGGCTCTAGTGGCCCTGCTTCCACAAGCGTGTGGCTAGTTTGTCTGTCTGGGTGAAGAAGGTGCTCCTGGAGATGACTGACCTCAGTCCCTCTCCTCTCAGGAAGAGCCACCCCCACCTCGGGATTGTGCTTCAGTTCTTTCTGGGCTCCTAACGTGCTTTCTCCTTCCTCCTCTCTAACTTAGATGGAAGAACTGGTGGGTGAGAGGCATCCTGACTTTGGCCATGATTGCATTTTTCTTTGTCATCATTTACCTGGGACCAATGGTTTTGATGATGATTGTAAGTGCCATTTTTGTGCTGTTTTAGTTCTGCCTTTAGTTTGGTGCAGGATCAGTCATCTGAAGAGTCTGGGTTAGTTCTGGGGATCATTTGGGGTTCAGGCTTCATAGAACATTTTCTTCTTAGAATATCTGTGACTTCTCACTTTTTAGCAGCCAAGTGGAGGGACACTAGCATAGGCTAGTTGCTAATTTTATTTTATATTTTTTATTTAAAAAAATGTTTTTATTGACTTTTTAGAGAGAGCGGAAGGGAGAGGGAGATAGAAATATCGATGTGATAGAGAAACATCGATCAGCTGCCTCCTGCATGCACCCCCCCCCCCACTGGGGTTCAAGCCCACAACCCAGGCATGTGTCCTGACTGGGAGTCAACCAGGACCTCTCGGTTCATGGGATGATGCTCAATCCACTGAGCCACACCGGCCGGGCAAAATACCTCTTTATTTTAAAATTTGATATTGTTATTTCAACTGTTTGATTATACTGTGACCCCTGCTGTGACATTGATTCTTGGTTTTATTCATTGTTTTCCTGGGGCCTCATTCATTGGCTTGAGCCTTTCATTAAAAAGTCCCAATCCTCCCTGGCTAGTGTGGCTCAGTTGGTTGGAGCGTCGACCTATACAATGAAAGGTCACGGGTTCGATTCCTAGTCAGGGCACATATCTGGGTTTTGGGTTCCCTCCCTGGTTGGGGCACATTCAAGAGGCAACCAATCGATGTTTTTCTCTCTCTCCCCTGCTCCTTTCCTTTCTCTTTTCCTCCCTCTAAAATCAGTAAACATATCCTCAGGTGAGGATTAAAAAACAAACAAAACAATAACAAAAAATGAAAAAAAACACAAAACAAATCCCAGTCCACAGTGCTTCTCTCTTAGTCGCCCACTGTCTGGACAGGGTCAGATGACTAACAGCTGACTGTGGAGCACGGGCCTTAGGGCTTTTCAAGTATTTGTATCAAAGTCAAAAGGGGAAGAAATTGATTGAGTCCTGGGAGGTTCTAGAATGAAACGTTAATTGAAACTTCAGGCGCATGTATTTATTGTGAGAGATTGGGTCTTTTCTGTGTGACATAAAAGGCTACATTGCCATGTGGGATGGCATGAGAGAGAAAAGAGCTGAATCACTGTAGGACTGACATTTCATAAATATAGTGGTTTTTCTTGAAGCCCCATGACCTGTTGGTTTCTGTTTCCAAAGATCATATGAAGTGTTCTAATTCTTGTGTGTCCTATAGGTGATGTGTGTTCAGATAAAGTGTTTCCACGAGATTATCACTATTGGCTACAATGTCTACCACTCCTATGACCTACCTTGGTTCAGGACCCTCAGCTGGTAAGCTCTCGTTACAGATTTGGATGAGAAGTGTTTTGTGGTAGACATTTACAGTGGTGGTGGGTGGGAGGGGAGTGATGGCCACGGACTTGCATAGTACCTTCAAGATCCGAGTATTTCATAGGCCAGACTGCATGGCTGGCCTTGGGGGAGTCTTTAGTGGTTATCAGGAATCTGGAATCTTCCTCAGAAGAAAGCAGACTGGCTGTAGTGCTGGAGAAGTAAATGCTGGGGAGGCAGATATCGTGTTAGGTCGGGCAGGGTTTTATGAAGAAAATGGTGTTTGAATAATGAGTGAAGAGGATGCTCCCGGCAGGGAAGAGACGGGGGCAAAGCAGGCAGGTGGCAATGCCGGAGTGAACCATCCCGATAGCCGTGCAGGGTTCCCATTGGGAAGAGTGGAAATAAGACTGGGAGGCAGGATGAGGGGTGTTTTGGAGCGTTATCTTATGTTTGAGTGTTCTTAGGTTAGGTACAGAAACTCTACAAAAGAGGCAAAACTGTATCCCAGGTTTGTGATAAATGGAGGATGAGTGAAAGCCACCACACGTTTCTAGATAAGCTTCTCACCTACAGTGTCACAAGAGAACAGGGACCAGGGGTCTTGAGGGTTGGGGGGACTGCTGTTCTGGTCCTCTCCTCGGGGTTTTCTGACACTTCGCTGTAAAGGACCGCCTGCATGTGCTTCCCGCCACAGTGACTTGTCTTCATTTACAGGTACTTTTTACTTTGTGTAAATTATTTCTTCTACGGGGAAACAGTGACGGATTATTTCTTCACTTTGGTCCAGAGAGAGGAGCCTTTGCGGATTCTCAGCAAATACCACCGGTTCATTTCCTTTACTCTCTACCTAATAGGTATGCTCACGAGTTCTTGTGTCTGTCTTGTTTTGTATGTCTGCTGAGTAAGAGTAGAGTTATTTCTTGGTTAATGTAAATTTTGATTATGTCAACTTGGACCGTGAAGGGGAGCAGAGCTGAGGGCTCTGTCTTACGTGAGCTGTAGCAACTTTTTAGTAAGAGAAGTGAGACTGAGGGGCTTTGTGGGTGTGGGGACTGCAGTCTGTGCCACCTGTCCCTGTGTTCCAGCCTCCATTGGAGGACAGCACAGTATGGACCTGCCTTGACTCTCCTGTTGGCAGAGGTTCTTGGTAAATCCTCACCGGAGGATATTTTTCCATTAATTTTTTGATAGAGTGGATAGAGAAACATTAATGTGAGAGAGACACATCAGTTGATTGGTTGCCTCCTGTACAGCCCCAACCAGGGCTAGGGATTGAACTTGCAACCCAGGCACGTGCCCTTGACCAGAAATTGAACCCCTTTGGTCTGAGGGCTGATGCTCTAACCGCTGAGCGAAACTGGCCGGGGCACCCCCTTCCCCAACATGGACTGCTTGGATTTAATGAAATATTGAAGTATGCAAATACAAAAGTATTATTTGAGAGAGAGCTTAAAAAGCAGGTTACAAAAGAATACACTATTTTTATATATCTATACCTATGATTTTGAATAAGCAAAATTCTAAAAGGACATAAAATTATATACAGAAAAACCACCCATTTTGATAACTTTCTTATAAAAACAGGGAGCCATCTTTAGGAGACTGCCACGAAGGATAGACACTGCAGTGGTGGAAATTTTACCAATCTGGATTTTCTTTTTAAAAATTTTTTTTCTTTATTGATGTTAGAGAGAGAGGAAGGGAGAGGGAGAGAGAGCTAGAAACACTGATGCGAGAGAACATTGATTGGCTGCCTCCTACATCCCCCCCGGGGATCAGACCTACAACCTGGACATGTGCTCTTACCAGGAATTGAACTGGCAACCTCTTGGTGCCTGGTCAACGCTCAACCACTGAGCCACACCAGCGGGGCCTGATTTGGATTGTCAAAGACTGTGACCTCAGAGGGGATGGGAGCTTAATCTTTCTGAGTTTCAGTGAGCTCTTTTGTAATCTAGAACTAAACCTGTGGACTTACTTTAAGAATTAAATCAGATACATTAAAACTTGACAAATAGTGAAGAGCTGGTCAATCTAAACTCACTTCAGACTGCACATTAGTCTGATAATGCTGGTGTTTTTTCTTTTTTTAAATATGTTTGTATTGATTTTTTAGGGTGAGAGAGAGAAACATTGACGTGAGGGAGAAATATCAATTGACTGCCTCTCGCACACCCCACACTGGGGATCAAGCCCTCAACCCGGGCATGTGCCCTGTCTGGGAATCAAACTGGGACCTCTCAGTCCATGGGATGACACAGTCTACTGAGCCACACCGGCCAGGCAGTGCTTTTATTTTTCATAGTTGCCCTTAAAGCTTGTTTGAGGCACCTGAGACAGCTGTTCTGACCTAAATTTGTCTGACCTATTTTTGATCGGCTATATGAGTGACACCTGGGTATTAAGATGCAAAATCCACTGCCAAGGGGTCTACAGACATTGTGGAAATGCAGAGGGCTTGCCTTAGACCCTGAAAGCAGCCGCCCAGTGGGAGAGTCAGGGGTGTCTGGAACAGCAACATACTCTCTTCTGGGCAGAACTGCTTTTGAGGAGCCCAGCACACTTATGGGTAAAAGTCCTTTTTTTCCCTGGGAGAGCAGGTAGAGGCTGCAGATATTTTTTGCCATCATATATGTCAGTGGGAGAGAGGCAAGGGCGGCCTCTACCCTGTACCAGGTGGATCCTCCCTTCACCAGACCTCTTCACTGGGACAGAGGTCGACAGACTTTTTCTTAAAAGTCCACATAATAAATATTTTAGGCTTTGGGGGCTCAAGATCTCTGTTGCAACTCCCCAGCTTGCCCTTGTAACACAAAAGCAACCACAGACAATATGTAAACCAATTGGCATAGCTGTGTTTCAATACAAGTTTAGTTATAAAATCAGGCAGCTGGCCTGACTCTTGTTTGCTGGCCCCTACTCTAGGCCAAAATATTCTTATCTGATAAACAATGGCCTAAACTGAGTAAAGAGAGTGTCTTCCTTTGATTGTCTTAAAAGAGTTATTTTTCCCCTTTGATTGCTATCTGAAGAACTAGTTCGTGTCTTCCTCCCCTTCTCCTAACTGGGGTTTGGGATTGTGTACTGGTTAACTGCTACCAGGAAATTAGCCACCGGATCACAATCACGATCATGTATACAGCTAAAGGAAATGATTAGGACAAAGGTAAATGCAGAGTGTGATTCATTTTGCCCTTCCTTCTCCCTCCTCAAACCAGGATTCTGCATGTTTGTATTGAGTCTGGTCAAGAAGCATTATCGCCTGCAGTTCTACATGGTAAGGGAAATTGTGTGTGTGTGTGTGTGTGTGTGTGTGTGTGTGTGACAGAATTTTTGGCTTAAGTGAAGTTCTGCAGAAACTCAACAGGCGTTTCATCCTTTCTGTGAGAAATCAAAACTAGAGTGCAGTCTGTTCTGTATGTATTTGGAACCCAGGGCGTGAAAGAAGAGGGCCTGTTTAAGTTTGGCAGCTGTACCTCCACTAAGACCCAGTCAGTTACTTAATTTACACCCTGAGCAATCTCTCCACTAGGTCCTGAAGAAGTTGGGCTTCAGGTAAGGCTAAAAGTGACACTGTACTGGAAAGGACCAAGGCAAGTCTTCCCTGGCATGGTCTGGAATGTCTGGGTTCTTGACTTCATGTAGGAAAGATTTCACAATAGCCATCCAGGTGATTTTGAGAGTATGTTTATTAAAACCGGGGACAGTGAAATAAAAGGGCTTACAATAGAAAAGACAAGATCACAGCAACGGGAGTGAGCCTAATCTGGGCTGCCTAGATATCAGAAAGGAAATCACAGTAATGGAAGTGGCAGAAGTGAGCCACACTGGGCTGCATGGACTCAGGAAAGGAAGTCACAGTAACAGAAGTGAGTCATGCTGGCCTGTGTGGGCTCAGGAAATAAGTTAAGAGGCAGAAGGAGGGCCCTTGGAGATAGGTTCAACGGCTTAGCCCTGGACAAGCTGCCAGTGCCCACTGCTGTCCTGGTTGCAAGTCTCCTGGGGACCTTTAGAGCTTAGAAAAAAGAAAGCAAAAGTACACACCTGAGAAAAGAAGGGGTGTGGATGTGCTCAAGGGAGAGGGTGCACTGAGTCCTTTGTCTTAAGAGTTCTGTTTTCTGTAGGTGGGAATTTTTTTTTAAATCCCTACCCGAGGATACTTTTTTCCCATTTATCTTCAGATAGAGTGGGAAGGGGCGGGGGGAGGAGGGGAACATTGACATGAGAGAGACACATCGATTGGTTGCCTTCCACACAAGCCTGATCAGGGCTGGGGACCAAACCGCAACCGAGGTATGTGCCCTTGACTGGAGTTGAACCTGCAACTCTGGTCCGAGAGCCGATGTTCCAACCCCTTAGCCAAACCAGCCAGGGCTGTAGGTGGGAATTTTAGGGGAAATCTCAGGGGAGGGTCTCAACAGACTAGTCAACAGCTTTCCAGGTGTGTGTTTTAATATGCTGATGCATCAAAATGAGTGTGTAGAGGAGTTTGGGATCATTCTCCGGTCAGCTTCACTGCTTTACTTTTATCTTGGATTTGTCTGACTTTAATTGGGTTTTTTGTTATTTATTTCCCTGACTTCATTAGTTCTTGGGTTTGGCTGGCACGAATGGCACCATCTGGGTCTCTGTTATCTATCTCCTTGACTAGGGTGATTTAAGCCACTTACTGTCTGGTTGGGGAGAAGTGTAAACCATTTGCTTCTGAGTGTCCCTGGGGATAGGGAAGATAAGGTCTTGTGATTTATTAGCAGGCCTTGTTTAACTGTTTGTCTCAATTTCCCTTATTCCTCTTGGTAAGTAATTTCCCAGTTTCTTACTGTCCTGCCTCAATGCCTCAGGCATTGTTCAGATATCTTACACTACTTTCTCAGCTTGAACATATTCCTTCTTTGAGTGCCCCGTGCACTCAGTAAATACTTAGAAGTACCCAGGATTTCAGAGTACAGAAGGACTTACTTACCAGTGAGCCACATGGTCCTGACTTTTAATGGGGACTGTGGCTGGGGGACAGAGTTTGTCCTTGACGCCTTTTCACTTCTAAGAAGATAGGTGCAGAAGCACATATCTTTCCTGCCTGTTTCTCAGCAATTTTCTATTTGGCATTGACTGTTACTTGAAGTTGCTTTCAACGATAGGTAAAGTTGATTAGTTTTCTTCTTTTGCAGTTTGGCTGGACCCATGTAACATTACTGATTGTTGTCACCCAGTCACATCTTGTTATCCACAACCTGTTTGAAGGAATGATCTGGTGAGTGTGTCAGAGAGGGAATTTTCCCTTTTATTTTATGGGTGTTTCTCATCTAGAGGTGCCTTACCTTCTAAGCCAGTGGTTATCACCTTGGGCTACATCAGAATTTCTTCTTTTTTTTTTTAATCCTTACCCGAGGACATTTTTCCATTTTTTGTACAGACAGAGTGGGAGGGAGAGAGAGGAAGAGAGAGAGAGAGAAACATCGATGTGAAAGGAACACATCTAGTGGCTGCCACCCGCACGACCAACCAGGGCCGGGGACAAACTGCAACCGAGGTACATGCCCTTAGCAGGAACCGAACCCGGGTCTCTCAGGACCGCAGGCGGATGCTCTAACCGCTGAGCCAAACCGGCCAGGGCTACATCAGAATTTCTTTTAGGACTGGTTACAACAGTGATTGCTGGGGCTTCAGAATCTGGATTTCTAGTACATTCCCAGGTGATGCTGGTGTTGCTGGTCAGGACCTACACTTTAAGAACCATGGTTCTAAACCAACAGGTACAGGGATATTTAAAGAATCAAAGGCAGTGCTACTGTATGGCAACAACTTTGAAATCCTAGAGAAAATTGTTAGGATTTCCTGGCAAAATGTAAACTACTAAATGTCATGAAGAAAAAAAGTTAAATAGATCAGTAACTGTAGGGAACTGAATGAGAATACACACCTCAAAAAAGAAAGGACCAATGATAACTAACAGCTGAGTTTTATCTAATCCTTAATACTAAAGCTGGTAAGCATGGGGAGGGAGAAACAAGAATGATAAACTGATTTCTTTTATGATTATAGATAAACCATTTGAAATAAACTGTTATCAAATGGAATCTGACTGTGTCAAAAGAATGTATACAGTCATGTGCCGCTTAAGAACGTGTTGATCAATGACAGGCTGTGTATACTATGGTGGTTCCAACAGAGCTGAAACCTTCCTATTGCCTAGGGAAGTTGTAGGGTGATGCATTACACAGATACTTACCATTGGGTTATCATTACCAACAGTACTCAGCACAGTTTTATAGCCTAGGAGCTGTAGGGGAGCAGAGTTTGTCACCCCAAAATATCTCTACTTAGCATAAGGATTATTTTAGGCTGGATAATTTTAAGAAATAGCCTTGGGGCCCTGGCCAGTTTGGTTCAGCGGTTAGAGCATCGGCCTGCGGTCCTGAGAGACCCGGGTTCTGTTCCTGCTAAGGGCATGTACCTCGGTTGCAGTTTGTCCCCGGCCCTGGTTGGTTGTGCGGGGGGAAGCCACTCGATGTGTCCCTTTCACGTTGCTGCTCTAAGGGGATCTACCACATGACTAGCCACAGGCCAGGGGAGGAAAGGTCAGAGGAGGGTCCAAAATGTGACCAGCGATAAGAAAGGTTAGGAGGTCTAAACTGCGAGACCAGCGATATGCTAGGGGAGGAAAGGTTACCGTGGGGACTAGGTCCTTGTTTTCCCAGTTGCTAGGCACCTGGGCTTTCTGCCCTGGTGCCCTTGTTGTACCTGGCTTCTCATCCTTGCTCTGCTCATCTTTGTCTTAACTGCCTACCACAGTTTCAACAGGAAATCTATCAGCATTGATAGAAATCAGCAGGCTGATTGAAGAAGCTGGATGGTCTTAGTGAAGCTGGGAGGCCTATCCTAGTGTGTATGAAGAGGTACTAAAGTGTTGTGGATAAGACCCCAGAGCGCGCTTTTGTTTCCAGGTCTCAGAACGAGGGTATAGTATTCCCCACCTCCTGGGGAATAAGTTAGTAAGCACACAGAAAGTGCTTAGAACAGAGACTAGCTCATGTAAATGTTACAGGTATTATAGTGAAAACAGTTACAACGGATGGGGGACATATAGCTCCTTCCTTTTCTTTCAGAGTTTACTAGGTGTTTCTTAACAGTGGCACATACTAAGTTCTCATCTTTAGGGACAGGTGTGCCACCTGCTTCTACAGTGTGTAATATTAAAATCTCTAGTTACTGGTTTTCAGACTCAACCTCCAAGACTTAATTATAGTTGTAGAGTAGAAAGTATGTGCTAGAAACCTCCACAAAGTAAATGTAGGGTTTGGGAGAATACAGATGCTCTAACTCCCTCCTTTAACAAACAGGAAGTCAGAACATTTTGCCTATAGTTGATGGGCCAGGAAATTGAGACTTATACATAAATCTGTAGTAGAGGACATTTTAAAAAAGTGACTATCGGAGAGTGAGGAGAGGAGGGTCGTGGTACAAGTGTGGAAACTGTCCCCGTTTTCATGATAGGGATGACCAGACCAGCAGGAGAGAAGAAATCTAGTTGTGTGTATGGATGGTGGTTTCACCCTCAGGGTAGTCCTAGGGAAAGGTAGGGCTTACTAGGTAGAGAACCTAGTAGTACACAGTAAAAAAAAAAAAAAAAAGTAGGTAAATTATGAAATAAACATAAAATAATATTACTTATTAGAATTATGGAGGCAACTACTAGAAGGAGCAAAACCAGAAATGATCAGAAGTGGCTCTTTTGGGGAATGGAGAAACAAGGAAAACTTATTTTTTCCTTTTTCTTTACAGTTTGTTTATTTATTTATATTTTTTGTTAATCCTCACCTGAGGATATTTTCCCATTGATTTTTCATAGAGTGAGAGGGGGCGGGGAGAAAGCGAGAAACATCAGTGTGAGAGACACATCGATTGGTTGCCTCCCATAAGACCTCGACCTGGCTGGGGATTGAACCTGCAATGTAGGTGTGTGCCCTGGACTGGGAATCGACCCGCTGGTCCACAGTGCTTCAACCGCTGAGCCCAGCCAGCCAGGGCTTTCCTTTACAGTTCAAATTTGTATTACCATGTAGCTAATTACTTTATAATGACAAAAGAATGCCACCTTCATTTATTCAGTAAACATTTGAATGCCTCCTATGTGCCAGGTACTAGGAGGGATTTGTTTGGTATTTTATCATTTTAAAGGTTAATTCTTCCCTGGTCTGGTAGCTCAGTTGATTGGAGCATGGTCCCTTATACCGAAAGGTGGTAGGTTCGATTTCCAGTCAGGGCACATTACCCAGATTTTGGGTTCGATCTCTGTCGGGGTGTGTGCGGGAGGCAGCCAATTGATGCTTCTCTTTCACAATGATGTTTCTCTCTCTCTCCTCCCTCTCCCTCCATCCTTCTCTCCCTTCTCTCTCTAAAATCAATAGTAATAATTATTAAAAAATAAAATGTTATTTCTTAATGGGTAACAAGTATTCTGTGAGTTATTTTGGTACTGGAATTTATGAATGGTATTATTTGGTGGACCTTTTTTTGTTTTCTTTTTGGTTTCAAACAACAGAAATCTAATGATCTCCCAGTTCTGCAGGCTAGAAATCCAAAATCAAGAGTCTGCAGGGCCATGGACTCTCTGAAGGCTGCGGGGGAGAATCTTTTGTGGACTTCTCAGATGGTATCATCTTGGTGGAGTTGATCCTTTGGTTTATTTCCTAGGTTCATTGTCCCCATTTCTTGTGTGATCTGTAATGACATCATGGCCTACATGTTTGGTTTCTTCTTTGGTCGGACTCCACTCATCAAGGTAAAGGGATCACCCTTATATGAAATTTTACCACAAGGGAAGGGTGATGCTCAGTACTGTAGATCAGCTTGGGAGACAGAGATCTAGCTAGTGTGTATGCCTTCATTGTCGTAGATAAAGGCTAGTGCTAAATCAGTTTTAAGAGGAAAACATTGACAATTACCCACAGAAAAAAAGAGCTAAGAAAGAAAATATTTTTATAGACTATATAAGCACATTTTGGGGCTTGATCTGAATTTGAGTACTACTATTTAGTATACTGTTTTATAATATAATTAAATGATTTGAATGACCAATTGAAGCAGAAAGGAAGCTGGGGGGAATCAGGCATGGAGGTATTTTAGAAGGTGAGGTGGTTAACAGACAGGTTTTTAACAAGTATTCATTGTCCCAAAGCCAGAGATATCAGAATGCCCTTTGCTAAGAACTTGTTCTCTGTCCACAGCTGTCGCCGAAGAAGACCTGGGAAGGCTTCATTGGGGGCTTCTTTGCTACTGTGCTGTTTGGCCTCCTGGTAGGTGGTGGCTCCTGGCTGGGTGGGGAAGCGACAGAGGCCTCACACCCATCTTCGAAGCCTGTCCAGGGCTAGGGAGCATGTCTCCAAGGCCAGGGACTCTGTCCTAGTGGAGGGGACTTTGCCTTGAAGAGGGGCACCCATGTGGCACCCTTCGTAACTGGCACAGGCAGCACTAGCTGTTTTTCATCCGCCAGTCTTGGCAGTGGAAGAGCAGGGTCCCTGTGCACCTTGTACTTTCTCTTGCTGAGGCATGCAACACTCAGCAGGTGGCGCTCTTGTCCACGTCTTTGATGTTTCAAGGTGGGGTGATTGGCACTGGTGAGTAAGGGGTAGGGTGAGGTATGCCATTTCAGCCCAGATTTTCTCCTTTGTGTGCCCTGTCCATAGGTGGATGGTCTCCCAGTCCTTTCAAGAGCACCATTTCCTGCTCGGACCCTGGGCCAGTCTCCCCTTTTACAGTGTTGTCCATCTGGTCTTCAGTGTTGGCTTCCTTCCCTTACTGCTCTTCTGCCTTCTTCCTCCTGGCTGTCTGCCTCTCCTTCCCTGTACCGTTTCCCCACCTCATGCCTGCAGTGAGCACCAAGTTAAGAGAGCCTGAGAAAGTGGGCTGTAGCTCCCCCTAGTGGGAGGAAACTTTTCATAGTTCCTTCACCACATTCCTCAGGTCTTTCCTGGATTCAGTTAGGATGTGGGTGTTTGGGCAAGTATGTGTGCAACTTAATGGGCTGTGAAACCTCTACCCCCACCCCAGTTCATGTAAAATACACGTGGTGAAACGGAAACCTTTGCTTCAGTGCGTGGCTTGCGGTTAGAGAGTGCTAGGCACTGCAAGGGACATGGCCAGGTGTCTGCTGCCCAGGCAGGATGGCCGAACTTGTCTCCTTTGCCTGTCTCTGTTCTTCATCCTCAGCTGTCCTATGTGATGTCTGGGTACAGATGCTTCGTCTGCCCCGTGGAGTATAACAATGACACCAACAGCTTCACTGTGGACTGTGAGCCCTCGGACCTGTTTCGCCTGCAAGAGTACAACATTCCTGAGGTTATCCAGTCGGCCATTGGCTGGGTATGTGCCACTCCTAGGGAGCGAACTAACCTCAGTGGGATAGTGACTGTAGGAGGGAGCCCCACCTCCACCACTCTCTTCCCTCAAAAAAATCACCTTTCCCTCCCCCTAGCTGTACGCCCCAGGATGGAGGAGAATTGTTCAAGTCAGTTCACGATGAGGACAGGAGGAAACTTTTTTTCCCCACTTCAAATCATTAGGACCAGTGATTCTCCGAGTGAGCTTTGGGGATCTCTGGAGGACCTGAGATCCTTTCATGAGGTCTCTGAGGTCACAGCTATTTTCATAATAACACAGTGACATTATTTGTCTTCTCTGCTTTGCTGACCAAAGCAGCAGTGCATAAACCTGCTGGCAACTTAGCATGAATGAAGGTAGTGGCCGAACCACTAAGTCACTGGATTCTTCATGCCACACCCTCGCAGTAAAAATAAGCCAGTTCCTCTTAAGAGTGTTTTTGGAGAAATAGTAAAGTTATTAATTTGATTAAATCTTGACCCTTGAATACACACCTTTCTAAAACTCTTTGTACCAAAATGAAAAGTATGCATAAAACACTCTGCTAAATACCGAAGTACTTGATTAAGTACTTGATTACCTAAGGGGAAAGGCTTGATTTATGAACTGACCTAACTGCTTTTTTTTTTTTTTTCAATCCTCACCCAAGGATATTTTTCTATTTATCTTCACATAGAGTGGGAGGGAGAAAAGGGAGAGGAGAGAGAAACATCAACGAAAGAGGGACACATTGACTGGTTGCCTTCCCCATGACCCTGACCAGGGCCAGGGACCAAGCGCAACTGAGATACGTGCCTTTGACCGGAATTGAACCTGTGACTCACTGGTCTGCAGGCCGACGCTCTAACGCTGAGCCAAACCAGCCAGGGCCTAACTGCTTTTTTATAGAAACATAATTTTTACTTGAAAAGAACTGACAAATTATAGTGTTTTAGACTTGAATAATTGACAGACATTTTTCTTGAAAATGAATGAAGTGAGCCTGTCACTTTAAGGAAAACAGCTGACAGTAATTATTAACATTGATAAAATGTGGCTTTCATGTGAAAGTGGAATTTTAGAAAATGTGTGCCTTCTGTGAGCTTGACAGCTTCCTGACACTGAAGGATTTTCTGATGAGATCTGTGGTAGTTTTAATATATACTGTTTTGACGCCGTGTAGCCAGATATGTCTGCATTTGGAAGGTCGACATAACTCCGTGAACAGTATTCTAAATGGCCAGTGCAGGGGGTTGCACAGTCAGGCATGGATAAGAGATCCATTCAAAGTGCCAGATAGACCAATGGATTTGAATTTATTTTATTTTATTTTACTTTTTAATCCTTACCTGAGGATATTTTTTCCATTGATTTTTAGAGAGCGTGGAAGGGAGGGGCAAAGTGAGAGAGAGAGAGAAACATTGATGCAAGAGAGACACATCAATTGGTTGCCACCTGCATGTGCCCTTCCTGGGGCCAGGGATCGAACGCAACCCAAGTGCGTGCCCTTGACTGGGAATTATTTTTTTCCTCACCCGAGGACATTTTTCCATTTTTTGTACAGATAAAGTGGGAGGGGGAGAGAGGAAGAGAGAGAGAGAGAGAAACATCAACGTGAAAGGGACACATTGAGTGGCTGCCACCCGCACAACCAACCAGGGCCGGGGACAAAACTGCAACCGAGGTACATGCCCTTAGCGGGAACCGAACCCGGGTCTCTCCGGACCGCAGGCCAACGCTCTAACCGCTGAGCCAAACTGGCCAGGGCTTGACTGGGAATTAAACCTGTGACCCTTCAGTGTGCAGGCCCATGTTCCAGCCATTGAGCCACACTGGCCAGGGCTAGACCAATGGATTTCATTTTAAGAGTACAACAAGTTCATTGATAGGATTTTAGATTTCACATTGCACCAATTTTTTAAGGAACTACTAATTATCAAGTTTTGGTATAGTGTCAAAGAATACCCATAATTATCTGAAAGGACAGTACTAAAATACTCTTCTTTTTTCAACTACATATCTGTGTAAGGTGGATTTTCTTCTTATACTTCAACCAAAGCAACATATCAAGAATTGAATTCAGACTATTTTAATGTCTTAATGTCTTCCATTAAGCCAGATATTAGATACTAAAAAAAAAAAAATCAGTCTTCATACTAATTATGGTTTTTTTTTTGAGGGATGGGGGGAATACAGTTAGTTGCATAAAGAGTTATTCATGTTAACATGTAATAAGGCTGGGCCTCTAGTCATCTTGACTTTTACTTCATTTATTCTTTTCAGAAAATCGTCCGGATGTACCCCTTCCAGATTCACAGCATTGCCCTCTCCACCTTTGCTTCGCTCATCGGCCCCTTTGGAGGGTTCTTCGCCAGTGGATTCAAACGAGCCTTTAAAATCAAAGTAGGAAAACCCTTTTCTCTGTTCCTCTCATGGTCTCCCAGCTCGGCCCCACTTCACCTGTCTTCTGCCTTCCCCCTCCGCCCTCCCCAGTCACCACCACCCACTTCAGAATACTAGGCATGAATGTGCACTCTTCATCCATGCACAGAATTTAGGTAGGCTAAACAAAGACACTGTTTCCGGGAAAATGGACTAGTTGGATTTTTCGTTTATTTGTTAATATCTTACATCTTTCCTGAAAACAACTTTGTAACTTAAGATCGTGTCCTATTATCGCCTCAGCATTTGAGTCGATGCTTACTTCTCACTTGGTTTCTCTCAGCTACTCAGGACAGTAGCTGGATATTGAGGTGGGACCATAGGCCAGGGTTTGATCTTGGCTGAGCCGAGGCTCACCAGTCCTCCCCCTGCCTCTGACAGGACTTTGCCAATACTATTCCTGGTCACGGAGGCATCATGGATCGCTTTGACTGCCAGTATCTGATGGCCACCTTTGTCAACGTATACATCGCCAGTTTTATCAGGTACAGTGCATTTCCATCTGAGCCAAGTTGTTGGATTTTCAAATAGGGTGCAATTCTAGAATTTTCCCTACGTCTCAGTTTCAACGAAAAGCACCTCAAATATAAATGCAGTTTTCCATTGCTACTATTTATTTATGCATTCCCCCAGGCCCCTCTGCCCCCTGTTAGTAGAGACTCCAGAGGTGGGAGCAGCTACTTGGATAATCAGCCCTAGAAGTGGCTGGGCTCCTGTCAGTGCCATTTGGTCACTTTCTCTTCCAGGGGCCCGAACCCGAGCAAGCTGATTCAGCAGTTCATGACCTTGCGGCCAGATCAGCAGCTCCACATCTTCAACACACTCAAGACTCACCTGACCGACAAGGGGATGTTGAGAGACGCCACGGAGGACTAGGAGGGGCCACTTAGGACCAGAGAGCCAGAGCAGGACTGAGCGGGGGCCAGGGCTCCAAGGCAAGCCCAGCTGGTGTGACTTACATAATGACGAGGCTTCAACTCACTGTCTTTTTATTTTTTAAGTTTTTGGTAGAGTGTTTTTTTATATGTAGGTTTTTAAAAAAATTCTGTACATACAGTCTCTGTGCTTATAAATTGGGTTGTGAGTAAACTACAACTTTGAGTTGGAAAGAAGTCATGAGGGTGAAACCATTTGTTTTTTTGTTGATGTTGTTGATCCTCATCTGAGGATATTTTTCCATTACTTTTTAGGTAGAGTGGAAGAGAGGGAGGAGAGAGATAGAGGGAGAAACATCGATGTGAGAGAGAAACATCGATTGGTTGCCTCCTGCATGGCCCCAGTCAGGGTCAGGGTTCAAGCTTGCAACCCAAGCATGTGCCCTTGACTGGGAATCGAACCCATGACCCTTTCGACGGTGGGCCAATGCTCTAACTGCCGAGCCAAACTGGCCAGGGCTATTTGGATTTTTTAAACAGAAGTTTTAAGAACGTGGAGGACAGTGTCGCCCAGCTGAGCAGTGCTTGCTCGGCACGTCTAGTCTCATCAGTTGAACTATGCTCGATCAGGAAGTGGCTCTTCATCTGTGTCTGAGCCGCGAGGGCCCCCATACCTGTCTTTGTACTACCCTTTTTCCCAGCAGGGAAGACGTGCATGGCTTGGATGTCTTTGCCGCTGGAGGGCTTCCACCCGAGCTGCTCTGTAATCCTGCCTTGGAGCTCCAGGGGCTTTGCCTTCTGCAGGCTGGAGGGACAAAGGCTTACCGATGAGATAAGCATTCTGTACGCATGAAATCCTGTGGAACACGAGCTCTGCTTTATGATGTGGGTTCACCTTACTTCATCACAGACTAACAAGTTTTCTTGAGAGCACGAAAATTTATAATTGTCTGGTAAAAATTCACCACACTGTAATATCTCAAGGGTATGCAGTAGAATGTACTGTCTCGGAGCCCTCCCCATGTGTTCGGGCTCCGACGGCTCCTAGAGGGCAGGCAGCTCACTGTGTCTGTTCAGGGACAAGGTCTGTGCTGCAGACTGGTTGCTGCTGTGTCCTTTCTGGGGCTTTCCCGTCAGGCAGGGCGCAGAGGGCTTCGCGGGCCTGCCCTTTGCCCACGTAGCTGCTGTGTGTACATATGTTACTCCTAAGGCAAACGTGTTTGTATGTGTTTTAAAAATCAATTATTTCTTGTAGTGATTTCAGCTGTACTGTGACTTCTTCACTGAAACCACAAAGTCCTGCTTAAACTCTGAAAAACCCAACCCGATTAGAGGTTTGACCATTCTGAAGATTAAATGCACACTTTTTATGTAATGTGACCAGTTAAATGTAGTTCGTATTTTACTGGAGACCTTTTTTTTTTTTGTAAACTGTGATTTATTTTCTCTTCTTAATTATGGGAGTGAGGTTGACTTTGGGGAAGGGGTGCAGGAGAGAGAACTTGGTGCCCAGATGTGCTCAGTTATCCCATGCCACAGTTGTTCTCGTTGCCAAATGACGGTGTAATGGCCGCTTTAGCACCTGGCCCGGCGCTAGTTTATTTTGTTTCTGTTTACATCAGCCCTGCTCCCTCCCTGAAAGCTCCCACTCAGCCCAGATCACAGGAGGGTCCAGCTCAGGCAGACCCCTCTCGACGTGTCCGCTCACAGGCGCTGTGCGACCTTCCATGTGCACACGGCGTTGAAGTGGCCCCTCTCCTCAGCCTTCGCTCTGTTTCAGCACATGGCTCCTCGGTTTCAAGGTCAAGTCCCCCTTCGAAACAAATAGTCTTTGCATGGGGTTTCCATCCTGGCTGTGGACCCTGGGCAGGACAGGACGGGACGCATCACTCCTGGGTCCTTGTTTCCTGAGCCGTCTTCTGATTCCAGTCTTCCATGATTCCGGCTGAGCAAGGCCGTGTCACTAGAGGCAGCTGGGGGTAATGAGTCATGTCCTGGGCACCCAAAAAGCAAGTGTTTTCAGGCCTTTTCTAAACGTTTGTCCTTAAGACAGTATCTCAGCAATGAATTAAACTGTGGAGATGATTAGTGATAAATCTAGTTTTCTTACTAAAGAGTGAACTTGGTCCCCTGAACTGGAGATAGAAAGGCACCTCGTTTGTCTCATGCTGCCCCATTGTGGGCATGTGGTGGGGAGCAGGGAGTCCCAGCGGGAGGCCAGCCGCAGAGAGCCAGGCGTGAGGAGGGCTGCACTTGGGGTCAGGGTGCCTGGCACATTCCTTTGTGGAAGGCGTTGCTGAGAAGGTGTCGGGGGTCCCGGGGAGCTGAAGGTGGTTGCCCGCCAGAGCTGCCAGCCAGGCCAGAGGGTCATCTTGGGTTTTATTTATTTATTTTTTTGGATTTCTCCATATTCTCTCTGGTGAAATAAGAGGAGTTTCCTAGCGGGGTGGTCTGGAGAGCAATGCTACCTTGTGTCTGTGTAGCACAATGTTTTTCTTTTTCCCATTTACTGATGACATTTCTCCATTAAGATAAGATTCGAGACACTATGTTACATACACCGGTGCGGATCTTAGTGGCGCAGCTTCATATCCGTCTGTGTGAGTGAGAAATAAATGTGGCTGAAACTGTGCCCTCCTTTGTCATGAATTCGGTCTCTCACTTCCATGTGTGGCTTGTGTCCCCACTTGTTTGTGTTCACACACACTGCAGTCCTGGTTCAGACGGTTTGTTCCGTTTTCTCATTTGAATCCTGTACATTCTTTTTTTTTTATCCTCACCCGAAGACATTTTTCCATTTTTTGTTCAGATAGAGTGGGAGAAGGAGAGAGAGAGAGAAACATCGACGTGAAAGGGACACATCAAGTGGCTGCCACCCGCATGACCCAACCAGGGCCGGGGACAAACTGCAACCGAGGTACGTGCCCTCAGCGGGAACCGAACCCAGGACTTTCTGGACCGCAGGCCGATGCTCCAAATGCTGAGCCAAACGGGCCAGGGCTGAATCCTGTACATTCTTATAACCTTCCGAGGTACCTCGGGTGAGGGTCATGAGCACCTTGCCGGTGAGGAAGGTGAGGGCCAGAGAGGGGAGGGAGCTTCCCCAGGGTCCGTGGTGGAGTCGGGTCTCCATGGACTCTGCCCTCCGGGACAAGGACTAGACTGCCCAGCCCACTTGCCTCTGCAAAGGAGGTGCAAGCGCTTCTGAACTTTCGCACCGTTCCTTTCCTCAAGCTTAGGGGGCCTGACCTGGGTGCCAGGTTGGAGCTTAAGTTGCTGTTAGCTCGTAAGTAGTGACATAAAGCAGTTCATGAACAAGGGCGTTACAGAGACCAGGGCATCCTCCCTGGTGAGTTCTTTTTTCTTTTTTATTTTTTTATTGTTGACAGTATTACAGATGTCCCATTTTTCCCTCTTTGTACCCATCCACCCAGTCCCCACCCCACTCCAGGCCTTCCGCACACTGTTGTCTGTGTCCATGGACTGTACATATATGTATAAAAGTTCTTTGGTTTATCTCTTCCTGTCTCCCCCACCCACTACCCCTCTGAGATCTGTCAGTCTGTTCCATGTATCCATGCCTCTGGACCTATTTTTTGTCAGTTTATTTTGTTCATTAGAATCCACATATAACTGAGATCATGTGATATTTGTCTTTGGCTTATTTCGCTTAGCATAATACTCTCCAGGTCCTTCCATGCTGTCTCAAGGGGTAAGAGAGCCTTCTTTTTTTACAGCTGCATAGTATTCCATTATGTAAATGTACCACAGCTTTTTTATTCACTCATCTACTGATGGACACTTGGGCTGTTTCCAGATCTTAGCAATTATAAATAGTGCTGCTATGAACATAGGGGTGCATATATTCTTTCTGATTGGTGTTTCGGGATTCTTAGGGTATATTCCTAGAAGTGAGATCACTGGGTCAGTTGGCAGTTCCATTTTTAATCTTTTGAGGAACCTGCCCACAGGACACCCAGGTCTTTTCCCTTTGTGTGCATGGCTTCTCAGCATCATAAAAGTACACATTTTACTCCTAAAAGTAATACCCTCTAAGGCAGCCTGGGCCTTATTTATGTTTACTATTAATTTTGCCTGTTTCTTATTCTGAACATTTTAGCAGCTATAATGTAACAATATTTAAGACAGTGTTGTACAATTCTAGGATGTCTGTTTGAGACTAGTATCTCAGAAGGGGCAAAAATGTAACTTTCAACCTTACACAAGTGGACTTTGGAACGCATTGATGGTATTTATCTTTTCCCGCTGGGCTTCTTATCTTGTAAATTGGCTTATATTGTGCAAGAAGATTCCAAAAATACGTTTGAGGGAGACTCAGCAAACCCTGTGATTTGAGTCTAAGCTAGTGGCTGACTTGGCTGCAGGCTGATTCGAATGGGTCCTTGAGTTCAGGTCTTCAGACTGTCAGCGAGTTCCCAGCAGGCCCAGAGCCTCCGGGATGTTGGCGGGCGTGGAGGGAGGATGCGAGTGACTCAGGGCCAAGAGCGTCACTGCTTGGAAAGCCCCGCGCTGTCCTCGTTCCCCAAGAAGCCTGCCCAAGGTCAGTTTTGTAAGGGAGTAGATTTTCATTACTCTACCAAATGTGATAGTCATCGCTGAAGCTTCTTTCTCTATCACCCTTGCCTTTTGTTTTTTGGAGTAACTCACATCTGTGCCCACCTTGTGGTTATGTGCTGAGAAAAGGGTGGAGTGGGGAGGGGCAGTGTCACTGTACCCAGGGTTCTTGTTCTTCCAAAGGCAGGGTGGGGAGGACAGTCTAAGAGGAGGATGTCCAGGTGACTGTCGACACATCACAAGACAGTCACTGTGCTGTCTGCAGCTGGGATGAGCCGTCACAGGCCACAGGAAAGGCTGGGGGCAGTGGTTAGCAAGACAGATGTCGGGTTCAAACAGCCCGAGACACTGCCACCTGCCCTGCACACAGGAAACGACCACACTGCCCTGCGAGCAGAGTCCAACTTGAACACCCGCCTACCGCGGCTGGGTGCTCCGCCCTTCATTCGGAAGGCCAGCCTCACAAAAGGAATGAGCATCTGAGGATGTTTTGAATTTCTCCATACTTAGCGGGATGGTTTGCCTGAGGTATTGCCACCTCCTGCTGCCCCTGGTCTGACTTTCCATGGGGAAGGAGGCCCTTTCCTCTTGCTGGTGGTGCGTCCACTCCGTGGGTGGTGAGGGTCTCTCCGTGACTCGCTCAGGAGACCCGTCTCCTTCTCTGGCCGAAGGCCTTGCTCTGCACACAGCTCGGGAACCTGCAGCCGTGCCCATACGAGTGGACTTCTCGGGCCAAGCAGTGGAGAGAAGAGAAACCACCTCTGTAGCGATTTTCGA